CCCCAAAACCCCAAAACCCCAAAACCCCAAAACCCCAAAACCCCGTGAATTATAAAATGCAACAAATCTTAATATTTAAATATTAAATTAGTTTTTAGATAGCGATTAAATAATGAACAACGAAAGCATTAATCCAGAATTAGTTTAAGCTAGCTATTCAGAAAATCATAAAGCTTATTTTGATGTTTAAATAAATACACAATCTGGTATAAATGTGAGCAGGCAAGATAAATATGATTAGAAACTCAATGAAAGGGTATAATGGCTGACAAACTCTTTTACCTTGGAGAATCTTATGAGAGATAGGAAAGAGAAAATTTCCATAATGTAAAGAGAAAGAAGACTTAAGTAGGTCTAGGAGAGTAGGAAAATTACTGAGTTACTATTTAATGATAATGAAAGTATTTCAAGCAAGCAAGTTGAAGATCAATCAGACATTGAGTCTACAATGAGCATAATAAATGATGAAGAAATCAAAGAGTAGATGAACTACTTCGATTAGTTTAAGGCTCCAAATAAAAAATTGCATGGGTCGAAGTAAAAAAAGAATCATCAGAATTTCGCAGTCAGACTTCATTATGCTTCTCAAATTTAAATCCATGATTTCTTGCTAAGACAAGATCTGGAAATATTGAATGACTCTAGCTATATGGTATCTGCAAGGCCAAGTGGTGTCAGATATCTAGTGACTTCATCAAATGGCAAAACTACTTCTAGGAATTCGTCGGGATATTTAACACATTAATTTGAAAGTAATTTGCCAAATGGGTCTAAAGGAAACACGGATGAAAAAGTACAGTTTTAAATGAAGAGTAATAAAAGAAACTGCTCTGCCTTAGACTGTATATATGTAGAAAAGGAAGAAACATTTTACATTATTGATCTTATATGCTGGGATGAAATGATCTACACTGATTTCCCATTTTGCTCAAGAATTCTATTCCTTCAATAGAAATTTCATGATATCCCCAAGCCAATTAGTTAGAAATATAAATTCAAGCTATTAGAGTACTAGCCTTGTAACACTAACAGTTTTCTTTAAGCTTATTTTGGCTAAGCCCTTACCCCTTATGTAAATAATGAGGAAAGTATGAAATTACCAGCTCTTTTTGAAATAAGTCTTGATGAAGATAAGATTTTATTAGATCTTAAAGATTAAGCTTCATACATTAATTCTCACTATATGAAATTGCTAAAAGTGATTGAGGAATAAAACTTAGAACGAATTGAGCATAATAAAGCATTGATAGATGTTTCTTATGCAATAAATTTAATGTAAAGATATGCTTTTGAACCTAAAACCTCAGATATTTTCTTAAAAGATGGCATAATGTTTAGTCATCTTGAAAATCCATATGAAAAAGGCTTAAACACTCTAGTACTTCATTGGAGAGATGAAAAAATATCCCAGTTTTGTAAAAATGATGATGAAGATGATTTATAAGGATATATTGGAGCAGTCTTGAAACTGAATGATAACTTTGAGTTTGTAACTCTTGATGAAGAGATATTGAAGGTTTAACTGGATCCTTATAGCTAAGAGCAGGTAGCTGGGATGAACCCAGGAAACTTATACAATCTAAAGATTAAAATTAACATTCTGTAGATTATAGATGTCCATTCTAATTAAAAATCCTAGGAATTAATTATTACAGAGTTGATTATATAAAAAAGGACATCCAAGCTGTTCCCTGATCATTTGTCTAAAATTATCTCGAAATGGCTTTAATTAAATAACCAATACATTACGGCTTCAGAAATTGTATAGTCTATAGAGAATAATCAAGAGCCATTGTTTTCAATTTCGACTAAGTCTATAAGCTCGAATGACAAAGTAAAGAGTGGCCAAGTAAGCCAGACTAATAGTAATGATACAAACTGCATGGAGATGGAGCTAGATTTATGATTTAAAGTCTGATTTCTTTTCAAGTAAAGACTTATTCTTTGCTTTAATTAATTCATACAAGGATTACTTTCTGAGTTAAATACTTATTTTGAACATTCAAGTATGGGGTTTTGGGGTTTTGGGGTTTTGGGG